GAGTTACCACGAGCGGAGCCATTCCAGTCTGGCAGCTCGCTCTAGCCATCTGCTTGCCCACCGCGATCCTCTGCGCTGCGCTGCTGCTCGCTCGCAGGTTGCGGGTGTGCTCGTGGCGACGCAAGACGCCACCGACCGCCAGCTCAGCTCCGATGGTTGGCTTTATCACACACAGTTCCAGGGCAAGCTCTCGTTTCGCGGGCGGAGTTGGTGTCGACGACGAAGACTATGAGCACCTGTCTATCGTCAGTAACGAGTACGCCAGAGAGGGCGACGTTTCGACAGCCTCGGTGAAACCGAGAATCGGCCGCGTCGCACTTGTGCGGAGCGGCGGGGCGGTTAGGCAGGCTGCCGTCGCAGACAGAGACTCTGGGGGCATGATCAGTCGTATCTAGGTGTGGTGCCTGTGAGTTCTTTTTTGCGTCACTGCCTGAATTCCTTTTTTTGCCTTAGCAGGGTTCGTTCGGGCTCCTAGCCGGATCCGTCTGTGTAGGTACGATGGGCTTGGCCCAAAGGGCCCGGCAACAGGTTACGCATCAGGGCAAAGAATAAATAAATAGAGCCGTCATCTCGCACCGAGACGGCGTCCTCCCTATCCACCAGAAGGCCCGGGGGGGGGGGGGCGGGGGTCCCCTGACCAGCTAGGAATAAGCTGTGTTCCGCTCCCAGTCTGGTCGTGGTCGAGACCGAGGTGTCGAACTGAGAGGCACTACTGGAGGCTACCTCCGGCCACCGCTCGACTACCCACGCACATGGCCGGTCCTGTGGCTTGCCTGGACTCGCTCAGAAGCCTCAATTCGCGCACACCTTTGCTCTCTGGCTCCCGCGAGTGTGTTCAGGCCACTCAAGCAGGCGACGCCGAGCACCCGCAATGCATCTCGCCGGGGCGCCACCTATCGACCCGACTGGTTGGCAGCATCAAAGCCGACCCCATGACGGTCCTTCAGCCCCACGATATAGGCAGTTGCGCCCTGATCTCGGTCCAAGACGGCCAACGCCATGTCCGGCACCTGCTGGCTGCTTCACGGGGATGCCCCCCCCGGACACATGCTGCAGCCCCGAGTGGATGTATTGGTCGTTTGCGGGTCCCACAAGACTACTCTAGTAGGGGCCGGGCGCTTGAGCGTCGGCGGTACACCTGTGCAGATGTTGCACGGGTGAAATGGCTCCTCGTACAGGGTAGGAGGCAGGTGGTGGGTTTGAGTGTCGTAAGTGCTTGCGGCCGCGAGTGCAGCACCGTTTGTGACTCCCATGGATACAGTTGGGTGGGCCACGGTGCTGGGGGGCGGTCCGGTGCGCCACAACAGCCTCCCTGGCTGACCCCCATCCAGTTCGGCCGGCACCTCCATCCTGACCGTGGAAGCCCAACTTCAACCGGTCATATCTCGGGCGGACTGGCACCTCACGAGCTCACCCTGGGCGGTTTGGGGGAGTCTTGGGGGTGTACTTGAAGGTGGTAAAAAGAGTTTTGCACCGCAGCTTAACCGGGGGGCGTGCTGAGATGCGTGAAAACAGCGGAACACAGCTTATCCTATCCCTTCGGGTCTGTCGCTTTGTGGCAAATTCTATGCTCCGGCGAGCCCTTGGTCTTACGACCGTCGGCGTCGGCGGAGGGGCAGCGTTCGCGTACCAGTGGGCGAAGGAGGCGCTTGGGGAGGATGGGTTGGAACGGTTGATCAAATACGACCGCGTCGCCATCCCCGCCATCGTGCAGTACAAGTGGGTGGAAGCGCGGTGCGGAAAGTTGTCTCGTCTGGCCCCGCTGCTCTTCCCGCCCGTGAGCGAGGAGGAGGAGACGGCGCGCTTCGCCGTGCTGCACGAGAGGTGGGCACAGCCACTCTTTGACATCTTCATGGCGCGGACGCCGCCCGCGCTCAATCCCCGCTCCACTGCCGGCACCACTGTGGCCGATCCCACTCCGCGCACGGCAGGAGTTGGGCGGCTTTTACTACAAGAGCGGCCAAAAGATCGCCGCAAACACGTCGGGCGTGATGCCCAAGTTGTACATCGACCTGTTTCAGCCGTTCCTCGACCGGATCCCTCCTCGCCCGTTTGCCGAGATCCGAGGCGCCACACCTCCCG